TCACTGACTGGACTGGGCTATCTTTATGTATGAGGCTTGGCCTCACAGCTGGAGCAGTTGCCGCACAACAGTGACCAGGTGTTCCCAAGCCAGAGCGTCTGCGGGGCCCTGCTGTTCTCCCCCTGGAGAATTGGGGGTGGGGTAGGGTGTGGTGGTATCTTGTAGAACTAATCTTGGTCTCCTTCTGCAGACCCCATCTTTCTATCTGTAGAAAAGAGGTCGGGATTTGGGACGGGGGTGCTGCATTTTGGGATCGGGGCTATGGACTGACAGGAAGAGGAACAGATGTTCCTGTTGGGTCAGAAACCAGACTTCGGACCCCACGGGCTGTTCAATTTCCTCTCCTGGAAAATCTTTAAGAGACGGCTCAGAAGAGACATGGTGCTGGCCCCACCCACCCAAGATTTCCAATGGGCCCTCTCCTTAGTTTCACAACCCAGAGTGACCCTAAGCTTAGGGTAGAGCCTAGGGGTTTCCCCATTAATCATCTTACTCCCAGCTCCCTGCCTGCCACTTCCTCAAAGGCTCTTTTCTCTTTGCCTTGCTCTTACCCCTTCATGGAATGCTTCTCCCTCTGTTTTGCCCCAAATATGGTTCCAGTTTACAGCTCAGTCCACCTTTCCAAGAACGCCTTCCCTACCGACACGATCCCATCACACTCTTATTCCTTCAGAATCTTTCTCACTCTCTGTAATGATCTTCTAAAACTGGACCACTCCCCCCAGCGCCAGCCCCTGCACCTCCATGCACTCGTCTGTTCTTAATCATCGTCAAGCCCTCTCCAACGTCTGTCCTAGGGACTGTTCTTAATAGGTGCCTAATAAGACTGGTTGCATGCGAGAATAAATCCCCTGCCATCCTCATCTCTGCCATGCCTTTCATTCCAGAAAGAAAGATCATGCTCCTGCCACAGGCCAGATTCTGCCCTGGTCCTGGTTTTCTCACCCTTCCCCCAAGGACTCCTCTGGGCTGATCCTGCCTTTCAGACTCTACAGGAGGTGCAGGAACCAGAATGTCTCCCCAGGATTATTTTCAATGGTTTCCTGGGGTGTTCACCTGGGTAAGAATCAGGAAAGAGAGGACACTCTAATCCTATTTATCCAAAACTATATAATCTTCCCCAATCACTTAAATGATGCCTGTGTCTCTAATTACAGAGCAGGCTGGGAGGGACATAGGCACAATTTCCAGCCAACCTCGGGCAGAGGGGCACTTTTGTCCCCCCCAGGGCTCAGGAGCCAGGACTCCAGACACCTGCTGATACAACTCACCCATGACAGACGACAGGCACATTCATCTAGCTAGAGACTTCTCCTCTATCTCAAAAAGGACCAGCCAAATGTTCCCCAGCTGTGTGGACGGAAGACTTATTTAGGGGGAGCCCTAATCTCCACATCCTAAGTCTAACCACCACTGTTTTGAGAATGAGCTGGTTTGAGGGGTGGGAAAGGAGGCAACCAAACTTTTCCTGGGCCTAGATGGCAAAAATGGGTCACACTCAGCTGTATGCTGTTAACCTAAAGGTTGGTGATTCAAACTCGTCCTGTGGAAGAAAGGCCTGGAGATCAGCTCTCGTAAAGATTGTTGCTGCTGTTATTAGTTGCCATGGGAATTAACCCAATGGCACCAGGTTTGGTGGTTTGGAGATTTTTGTTGTTTTTTTTTCCACTTCTCAGGGTAGTATTTCTGGTCAACTTGTCCTATAACTTCAGCTCTTTGACAGCAAACTCCAAGAGGCCAGGGAGCTCACAGTCATGTGACAGCCTGGAAGGTTAGAACTTCACTCCCCTAAAACTGTACCCAGTGGATCATGAGATAGGGGCCAGCCACGTGCCTGCTTGCCCGCTCCAGGCAAACAAACAGTGCTATCTGGGCCCCAGTGTGTGTCCTTCTCCTACCTTGGCACTAAGAGAGCAATTTCAGTGACATCCATGGCTTAGCTGCAATGACATCTCCACTCTTTAAAGGCCTTTTGGTTCCTGAGCTAATTAAAAGCCTCAGACAGGAGGTCACACTTAATCCTATTAATGAATTCTGGGTCGGGCTGGTCCGAGGGAGTGCCTTCTGGAGCCACCTCCATTTGTTCAGGTGCCTAGTGATTGTTTATCAGCCCTTTTAAGAGATTAAGTTGGATGCAGGAGTGAGCCAGTTAACCGATGGGTTCTGGAGGCCTGGGAGTGTACAGGTGACTGTAAAGAGCACAGGCAGCCAGAAAGTTGGTTTATTCAAACCTCAAAGCGACTCTCCCCCAGTGTTCTACTCTTCAGAATGTTGTTGTTGTTAATTGCTGTTGAGTTGGATCCAACTCATGGGAACCCTATGTGTGCAGAGTGGAATGGCTCAAGCAGTTTTCAAGGCTGGGACTTGCTGGATTTCTCTTCCCTGGTGCCTTAGTACCATAGCGTAGGCTCAGACTGCCAACCTTTCCACTAGACCTCTCCTCATTGCTGCCCCATCAGCACTTTCATAGACACGGTGAAGCTGGATACAGCACTTTCCCTGAAGGCTCTCAAAGTCCAGTGGGATCAAAGACATATTAGCAAACAAGATAATACCAAGTTAGGTTTACCACAGTAAAGGGAAGTACATAGTGCCCTGTGCTTGCATTGTTGTTGATATGTGCCATCAAGTCGCCTGCGACCCATAGCAGCAATATGTACAAACAGCTCTGAAGCCTGCCCTGTCCTGAGCCAGTCTCACTAATTCCAACACATCAACCCCCACTACCCCAGTTACTGTATCAATCCATCTCATCTGGGGTCTTCCTCTTCTCTGTAATGCCTCCAACCATCCAAGCATGATGTCTTCCCATCTGGCCACACGCCCAAAGTATGTGAGACAGTTTCAAAATCCTAGCTTCCCTACAACCAGGAAAGGATAAAATAGATGAATGGGACCTTCTAAGAATCAAATCCGTTGTGGAAGGCAGTATGGTGCTTTCTCAAAAAATTACAAATAGAGATACCGTTTGACCCAGCAATTCCACTACTGGGAATATACCCCAAAGAGACCATAACTGCCACCCAACCAGATATATGCACACCCATGTTTATTGCAGCTTTGTTCACAATAGCGAAGAGTTTAAACAACCCAAGTGCCCAACAACAAATGAATGGATAGAGAAGCTGTGGTATATTGACACAATGAAATAATACTCTGCGTTGAAAAACAAGGAACTCATGAAATATTATACAAAATGGATGACCTTGAAGGATATTATGCTGAGTGAAATGTCTCAGTCACAAAATGACAAATACTGCATAGTGCCACTGTTGTAAAACAGGACTGACATCGGGGTTGGGAGTAACCTAAGAAAAGAGCGGATAAATAATGTATACTGCATTGAAACAGATAAGGGAGAGAACTGTTTAAACAGAATATATGATTAGATATTATTTTCATGACAAGATTCCAGAAAAAGAAATGCATAGTAAAGTGGACTGTGGACTTGGGGGGGCAGGGGATTGTATAAAAATGAAAGAAGTTTTTTTTCTTTTCAAAGAGAAAAGTGAACTGGGGGAGGGTTGGGCAGGGAGGAAAATTTGCAACAATAAATGAATGAGAAAAAAGAAATAGGAAAAATATGCTGTAAAAAAATAAATTTAAAAAATATATAAGGCAGAATCCAGGTTCCCCATAATAGGTTGAGTGAACCTGTGAAGTGGATGGCCATAGGGGGCAGGAAGGATAAGCAGATAAATTTGTTTTAAAAGGATTAATACAAAAAAATATAAATAAGTAAAAGGATTAGTCCAGAGTTCCTATGAGGTGGAGACTAAAATTGTCCCAAATGTTCAACTTTTCCAAACTGCTTTACACTCTCTCATCTCTAAAATAAAGTATTCCTCCTCCCTGAAAAAAAAAAAATTAAAAAAAAAAAAATCCTAGCATCCAAGGAGACTCTTAGTTTTACCCTCTCCAGGACAGACCTATTTGCTTTCTTTGTGATCCATGATATGTTCAAGATTCTTCTCCAGCACCACAACTTGAAGGCATTGATTCTTCTTCTGTCATCCTTAGTCATTGTCCAGCTCTCTGATGCATAGCAAGTAATTGCAAAGACTATAGCCTGTATCAGGCCCACCTTAGTCTCTAGACTGACATTGTTGCTTCTCAAGGCTTGTATAGGGATGATAATTGCCCCGGCCTTCAAATCAGAGAAGATTTCCTGGAAGGAGGAACACCTGATCTGAAAGATGAAGATGAGAGTTAATAAACAGATTAAGAAACTCGTTGAAGGAGTTCTATTGAGAGAAGGTGAGATGGTATCCCCTAAGCCGTGGGTTTGTTTCAGGTTTTAGTACAAGGCTCGGTAAACCAACTGTTTCATCAACTTGTTGGACAGTGGTTAGCAAAGTCTAAGCAAGATGCCGAGGTGCCAGAAATGTTATGTGCTCCAGGACACGTTTGCTTCAAGCCCCTGTCTGGAGCCTTCAGAGAACCGAGATTGGTGAGGGAGACTGGACTAAATTGAGGTCTCTTTAAAAGAGGAGGGGTGGTTCCTCAAGTCACGCCCACTTCTCATGAATATCAAGCAATTGTGAATATTGATATGGGGGCGTGGCACCCTGGCCAGCTGGGCAACCCAGCCGGGGCTTCCCGGTTCCACAGCGGGGAAAGTGACAGAGGCAGCGAAGAGGGAAAGAGACTCGGAGGGAGCACGAGAGCCTGGTGGTCACCCAGTCCCTCAGCCCCCACCCCCCGGGCTCCCCATGGAAGCCAGCTGTGCCCCGGGTGGAGCAGGGGGAGGAGGAGTCGGCTAGATGCTCGCGGTGCGCCCGGGGCCCCCGAGCGCAGCCCGCACAGCGCCACTGCCCTGAGGCCCCGCGCCCCGCGCCCCCCAGCCCGGGCCGCCCGCCTCTGCCTGCCCCTCCCCGGGGGCTTCGCCCCGGACCTGCCTCCCGGTCGCTTGCCAGCGCTCAGGCGGGAGCTCAGAGCGGGGCGCGCCGCCGCCCTGGAGTGAGGGGAGCCCGGCCGAAGGGGTCCCCGAACCCGCCACGATGGACGCCGTCTTGGAGCCCTTCCCGGCCGACAGGCTGTTCCCCGGATCCAGCTTCCTGGACTTGGGGGATCTGAACGAATCGGATTTCCTCAACAATGCGGTAAGCTAAGGGGGTGCATCCCCCCTCTTCACGCCGCGCCTGGGCGCCCCAGAAAGACCTGGCTACACATTAGTCAGCAGGAGCGAGGGAGGGTCCCCTGGGAAGGCCGTGGGGTACAAGGTCTCCTGGAAAGGACACGTGCCCTGAGCGCTGAGATTTGACAACTAGGTTCCTTGATACTTCCTGAGACCCTAAACCTGGTGGGGAGACCCTTCCAGCTCGTTCCAGCGTGCGCCCCTCCCCAGGGCTCGGTCCACGAATACTTTGACCCTCCGCCTTCTAGGGCAGAGGGGATCTCGAGGCGTCGGAGTGGTCCGCTCCTGGAATACGAACTCGAGACACCAAGGTCCTTACCATCTCGACCCGTGGTCGCCCGCCCCCCGGGATTCTGGAGCCGCTGGGGAGCTAAGTGGCTGCGCCCTTTCTTGTCCCCTTTGGGACCTCGATGGCGCCTCGCCTGGTTCTCCGCTGGGGGGCGCACAGCCGAGCACTTGAAGAGACCCTGCGTCCCCGGGGTCCAGAGCCAAACCCCAAAATGTAAGGGTGCAGCAGCGGCTGCCGCAGGGACTCGGGGCTGAGATCCCCGGTGGAGGAGCCCAGCTGCTCGGGCAACACAGGACGGCTCTCTGGGAGGGAAAGCTTTGCTCTCCAGCTGTGTCACTGCTCTGTCTCTCACTGTCTCTGCTGTTCTCTCCTTGTCTCTTCGACTTTGGGTCTTTCTTCTGTTCCCTGTTCCCCTCCCTCCTTAAGGAAACGTGGCTTCTTTCTCTTCCTCCCTCCCTGCTTTCCTTCTCAGACTCAGCCCTAAGGTCCCAGGAGAGGCATAGGCTCCATAAAAGAAGGAAGATCGAGGTTCAGAGGGGCTTGACATTTGGGCTGCTTGAGGAATCTGATGGGAATCCCCTAATCTGCGAACCATCAGTTCCCCTTATCCTCATTACCACCCCACTGCCTAGTGATCCTCTTGGGGTTCTCGCCTTGCTGGCCTCTCACTCCTTGAAGTAAATTTAGCCTGGTAGGCATGAAGTCCATTGAGGCTGAGATAGAGAGCCTGTCCCAGAATGCTAGACTGATGGTGGGGAAACTGAGGCTCAGGGCACAGAGGCTGTGTTAGAAGGCACGGAATGTGACATCTCCTGGATAGAGAGCTGGCCTGGCATGGACCGCAGGAGAGCTGAGTTCTGGTCTTGGCCCTGCTGCCTCCCTCCATCAACCACTCTCCTCCCTGGGTCTCAGCTGTTTTGTCTGTAAAACAGGAGCTAGGTTGAATGTAGTCTTTCGAAGAACAGTTCTGGCGTAGATCCAAGGAACAAAGCAGCAGGGAATGGAGGTCCACACACTCTCTCCTTACTGTTCAAATTACTGGTCAGCAGCAGAGGGATGTGCCAGCGCTGAGACCCTGGCAGCCTAAAGTCACAGGCACCCTCTCAGCCTGCTACACCTCTCATTTGGACTTTCTTCTGAATGAACTCTCGGCCTGTAGCCTCTTCCTTCAGCTTTCAGCCCAGCATCCCCAGCTGCTCATCTGGGCCTTGGTCCAGCGCAGGAAATCAAACAGTGGTGTCCCACACTTGGGGCTCTGGCGAGGGGAAGCCTTGCCTTGGCCTTTCTTAGTGTGCCTGGAGTCTGCGTCGCCAAGAGAGATGGAGAGGGAGAAGTAACTGAGACAGGGAGAAGCCTTGGGCAGACAATCTGGAGATTGGCCCAGCCAGGCCAATGCAGACAAGTGGCTGTTCTTCCTGAGGGTCTTGGTTTCCTCATCTGAATAAGAAGGCTGTTAGAAACTTCCCTGTAGCCTTGTGGGAGTAAATTGGTGAGAAAAATAAAACAAAAAATGAAAGGAAAGCATTTCGCACAATGTAGGAGTCTGTAACTATTAACGTCTCGGAGAGACTGAATGAAGGATGCTAGTCAGAATGAGCCCTGTTCCACATTAGTTAGACACTCAACTGCTAAGTGAAAGGCCAATGGTTCAAGACTACTCGCTGCTCCTCAAGAGGATGATGTAGTGGCATACTTCCATAAAGATTATAGCGTTGGAAACCCCATGGGACAGTTCTACTCTGTCCTAGAGGGTCATTTAGTTGGCATTAACTCATGACAGTGTGCTTGTATGGGTGGTTAGAGCTACTCAACTAATAGTTACTGTGTGATCTTAAGGAGTCACTTTCTTTCGCTGTTGGAGGAAGGGAAATGTAGTTCATTTTGCACCCTGAAAATAGGTCTTCCGTTTTAATGTTAAAGGTCCCTTCCAGCTGGGACCCCATTCCAATCCTTCTCAACTAACACCGTTTCCCTTCTGTCTCATGACAGAAGAATGTTTCCAGGGGTAAGGAACTGGGTAGAGATGAAGTCTGAGTGCTTCTCAGTTTGTAAGATAGAGAACAGGACATTCACTGTCCTTAGAAATCCAGATAAAGGCCCTACAGTCATGTGGAAAACATGTGTGCCCTATTGCTCTGTGCAAACGATCCCCAGTGTGCTTGCATCCTGACGACAACTCTGTACAAAAAGTGTTTACAGGGACGCGGGAAGGGCCAAGCACGCAAAGGCATCTCAGGTGCATTTGGTGATTTTGTTCTTCTGTCTAAGTTACTTTCCTGCTATTGCAATCCTGTGTGTGTGTTTCTCAGAAACAACCCTCAAGAAGGGTTGCCCTGCTCCCTCCTCACTGACCCAAAGACAGGGCCACCCAAAGATGCGGCCATTTAGGAAGAATATTTTTAAAGCATTTTTTTAGAATTTAGTGTGTGTGTATACCATTAAATCAGATCTGACTGGTACAAGAGGAGATTGCCCCCCCCTTCTCCAGCACAGCATCTGGTGGATTCAAACTGCATATCTCTGGGATTGCATATCTCGCCACTAGGCCACCAGAGCTCCCTTTAGGAAGAATATTTTAAAAAGCAACCAGTTGCCATTAAGACAATTCCTGCTCAAGGTGACCCCATGTGTGTCAAAATAAAGCTGAACTCTGTACTCCTTTCAATGGCTGAGTTTCCTCGAAGTAGATCTCCAAGCTTTCCTTCCCATGCACCTCTGGATAGACTTAAACCACCAACCTTTTGGGTAGAGCCAAGCATGTTAACTCTCTGTACCACTTGAGCTACCCAAAAGCCCCTTCTTATTGTACCTTGTGGTCCTTAGCTCTTTGGCAGGCATGAGAGAGCGTGGTGCTCAGAGAAATGGAATACAGAAGCACAGTAAGAGGCCACGTCTCTATATGAGCCACTCATCTGTGTGCCTCTTGCTTTCTTGCTCTGGCTCAGGGGGAAGGATGTCTAGTTTCTCAAGAGGGAAATGGCTTTGGATCCCAGAGAAACCCCAGCTGGGAGGGTGTGGGAAGAGCCGTTCTTTCTTTCTGTTGTCTCAGAGGGGAGCAGCAGGAAGCTGCAAGGATGTTTGCCCAGATCATTCCTCCACCTCCCAGCAGCTGGGAGGCCAGGTGTAAGGATGACAGAGACCCAAGGACCAGCCCTGGGGAAGGAGGTGTGAGGGACAAGCCTGCTCTGCAGCCCCCTCACCCAGCTTCTCTTGAGCTCAATAGAGAAGCAAAAAGCTCCCCTCCCCCAACCCTGGCCTTTGGGGAATTTCAGGAGATTAGAGAAGTATGTGTGTTTGGGTGTTCCTGTGTCTGTGTGTGGGCCTTTAATAGCCCTTAGGAAGGGAGATACATATATGTGTGTATTTCTCTTTAAATTCTCACCCACAGGGCAGAAGGCAGAGGAGATGGGTACTCTGGGCTCAGAGTAGTGCCCATTGTGAAATAACTAACAGAGAAAAAGGAAAATAACAGAACAACCAACCAGGGCAGCAAAAAAAGTTGGCCCCACATCATTGCGACCCCCTGTGTGTCAGAATAGAACTGAGCTACATAGGGTTTTTTACACTGGGGTTTTTTGGAAGTAGATTGCCAGATTTTTTTTCTGGGTGGACTTGAACTTTCAACCTTTTGGTTAACAGCCAAGTACATTAACCATTTAAACCACTCAGAGACTCCAAAGGAGAAAACAGTGATCCGAATCTAATGGTACTTGCTCAGAAGGGAGAACTTGGAAACCTGCACCACCACCAAATGTTGAGTTTGGTTCACGTGTTTGGTCGTGTGTGTGTGTGTGTGTGTGTGTGTGTGTGTGTGTGTGTGTGTTTGGTGGCTTTTGGGGGGCTTTATTTGCTTGTTTTTGCTTCCTCCATTGGAATAAAAATTCCATAAGGGCAAGGATTTTGTCTGTCTCTTTCACCACTGTATTCCCAGAACCTAGGACAGGGCCTGGCATAAAAAGCAAGGCTCAGACCAACTATTGTTGAGTGATTGAATGAAAGAGTATCTAGACCTCATATTTTTTAAGGGGGAAAAAAGGGTGCTCACCCAGGCCAGCCCTGCAACTCAGGCAGGATTTGCCAAGCCTTCTTGCCCATTAAGCCAGGGCTCCAGCGACAACAACCACAATGACACAGGCCCCTGTGTTGGCACAAGCCTCTGGTCCAGGACCATCTGGAGCTGCCTTCCCACAGGGGATTCAAACTGGTGGCTCAGGCCTCACCTTCCTGGGGCTTCTACCCCCCAGTTTTCTCTTGAGTTGTGAGACTTCTGGACCCACACTCACCCAGCTTTAAAACCAAGCCGTTCCTACCATCTAGAATGCTTTCCCTTTGCTTCCCTCAATCTCACCCTTCTATTCCCACTTCAGATGTCACCCCTCAGAGAAGCCTCCCTGACCACTCGAAGGGGGAGCCCTGTTATTTTCCGTTAATGTCTTTTATTTCCTCCATCATTCTAATCCCAGTTTATGGTTATTTGACTGGCTTGTGATCTACTTCCTCCATGAGAAGAGAAATCATGTCAGTCTTGTTCATTGCTATAAAGCAGGCTCAGGATCTGGACATAAAGAAAGTGTTCAATCCTATATGTAAAGCCCACCATCATGCAAAGCTGGGTCCAAGGTTCTCAGTCATAGATGTGGAGTTGTCTTATTGCAGGATGACTGAAGGCCCAGTAT